TTTCAAGTAGAAAATCCCGAATATGAGGTATGTTTAAAGCGAAGTAGCCTATCAGAGTACTAAAAAAATAAATAATTGTACAAGCTATTATTAACTAGAAATTTTTATAAAAGTTTTTGATCAAAATTATTTGGTACTAAGCCGTAATATAAAATATAAACAAAGTAAGATACTCACTTTTTGCTCAATATTTATAATAGTTTTTCTATCTTTCCTTTACACCAACTAACTTTTTCACGTTCTCTATTTAACTGCTGATCTTTTTCTTTTAAACCTTCCAATTCTTCTCTCCAATTGTTAATTGCCTTTTCCATATCTTTCAAGGAAGTACGACTTTCAATTTCACAACGATCTCGATAAATGCAATAAATTGGTAGAGGAGAAGGTATAACTTTAAAAACAGCTTCTACTACAGCTCTTATTGCCTTTTGACAAGTAGAATGTTTAATTCTTTCATCACTTTCTAAACTTATATCATCTTTGATTTTTTCGCCCCAAAGTTTTATCAGAACATCATTGATTACTTCAATTTTTTTTCTATCTATATACTGTTTTTTGTATTCTGAATCATCAAAGCGGAAATAAATATCTTGGAATTTTTCAATAGTTTCCTTTAACTTTATTCGCAAATTCTCTATCGTTTTACAATTTTCTTCATCATTAACAAAGAATTTTTCAAGTAATTGACATGCTACATTTTCTTTAATAATTGCAGTTGAATCGGAACAAGTAGCACCCAACCAACCACCACCTGATAAAATAGCGCCTGGTATCAATGCAAGAGGAACCCATATTCCTGCGATTACCAAAGCTTTACCGCATAGCAAAGCAGCATTGCCTAAAGTATTTCCTGTAAATCGTTTTTTTCATATGTTCTTTTACTTCTTCTTTACATTTTTTAATCACTTCAATCATTTTTTCCCGTTCAATAATGAATTTTTTTAGATAGTTGATACTATCATTTAGGTGCAAATCAACATCAATAATTGCTTCTTTAGCGGCATTTATTATTGATTTGAACTCATCTACCATTTCACTAAATTTAACAAGTAGTTCAGGCCGATAAACTTTTTGATAAGTTCTCAAATGTTTTAATAATATTTTACGAGATTCTTCTCGTGAATCCTTTGCCATTAACAAGTAACGACCTTTGAGTGGTGGATTATCTACATAAATAATCATCCTATCAGCAAGCTCTTTTGAAAGCTTTTCAGTTTCCTCACGAAATATTTTACGATCATTTTCACAGGCTTCATAATCTTCAAAATTTGAAAAACCAGTGCAAACAATAGTAGTGTAATCAATTACTTTATCATCAAAAATAGCTTTACTTAATAATTTGAAAGTATTAACTTCTTCTTCACTAAAACGGTCCTTAGTTACAAATAAAATTTGATTTAAACCTTTACTAATAATATCAGCTTTATCTTCTAATTTACTTAATATTTCTTCGGTTGATTTGGTAGAGTCAGCAATTCCAACAGTATCAATAACCCGATATTTTATTCCTTCATATTCAAATTCTTCAGATTTTGTTTCTGTAGTTCCACGCATAAGATGTATATTTTCCTCAAATTCATTGGTTCCAGTTATAACATTTGCTAAAGTAGACTTTCCTTTACCAGCGCTACCTATTAATAATATATTTCTAATTATATTTTTAATTTCTGTCATGATATGATATTATATTTTTATATTTTTGTTTAGATAATTGATTCTCAGATAGTTCGTCTTAAGAAATAATAATTTTGATGAAATTGTTCAGGTTTATGATCTTAAAATAATATTTTCCGCTATAGGAATTATTATTAGAACGAACTGAATAGCGATAGATGACTCATTCTTATACAGTTGTATTATGCACGTCATGTGCGTACGTATTTGTGCGGGTAATACAAACCTCTAAAAAGGAAATGGCCAATCAGAGAACACAAATTTCGGGTATTCCGGATCAGCCCGACATAGAATCCGAACACGTGCGAAAGAAGAAAAAAAGAAAAGAAAGCGAAAATTCTCAAAAAACTAGTGTTTAAATCGACCTTGGTTGATTAATAAAAAATAACAGGGATGAAATTTTACATATAAAAAATCCCAACTTATCGCTAAAGCTCACAACCCTAACGTCTTAATCCTAAACTTCTATTTTTTACGTACTTGGTTTATTTACAAAATTTGATTCCTTTTTTGGTTTGTGTTACCCGCGCAAATAAGTAAATCGTACGTTACTGTACTAACTTAGTTGGACGTACAATCATTCTATAAAAAGACAATCGATCCCTTTTGAATAGAGTTTGGGAACTGGGTTATAGTAAACCGGTTATCCATGTCAAAACGGTTCACCCATGTGTTACCAAAATAACGCCCCGGGGTGTAGGTTGAAATTTTGACCCGAATTAAGCTTAATTCGGCCTAAATTAGGCTTAATTCGGCCTAAATTAAGCTTAATTCGGGTCAAAATTTTAATCTACACCCAGGGCGTTATTTTGAGATAATATGGTACGAAATTTTCGTAACAAAATTTATTAGTATATTTTTCTTTCGTATTATGATTTTTGTTTTTTATTAGTCGTAACAGGTATAGCGTTCGCATATGATCTGCAGATCATGTAAACAAACGTTGCCCGAACTTCGTGTAATTACGAAACTCTACCTGTAGAACCACTTTACTTATAAGTTAAACATAAAATTACTTAGTACAAAAACTCTGTACAATTGATTTTTAGGGGCGCTTATTTTCGGGTATCTATGATTTGCAATTGCTGATGGTGCTTACTTTCGGGTGCTTATGTTCGGAGGAATACGGGTAATTCTAAAACTTTTATCTTTTAACGAGAAGATTGATATAATAAATAAATATTCTCTTACGCTCATTTAGTTACCGCTGCTAAATCTGACAGTTGGACGTAACACAGGTCAAAAAAATTTACAATCTGGATTATCCGAATCCAAGCTCTAAATAAAACATATGGACCAGGTGCTGAAAAAAGGAACGAAATTAACTATTTTCAAACCATTTTTTTGAACTTAACTAATCTAAATTTAGACTAGAACACACTTTCACTTAAGAAACTAATATTGTTATCTTAATAAAATTTTTCAGTATAATTTTTTAGAGTTTTATTTTCTTATAATTTATAATAAAATTTATAATATAAAAATCAATTTTCTGCAAAACTTCTTTTTTTTTTTTGTCAATTTCGTCCCTTTTCTAAACACCAAGCTCATATCATTAATAAAATTTGCAAGTGCTTTTTTTCTTTTTTAGAATATGAAAATAGTTTCATAAGCAAAATTTCAAATTACTAAAGATTTTATGAAATTTTTTTTTATAATTTTATTAAACATTGCTGCCGAATCTATTCAAATCTTAAAATTTAAATTATTTATTTTTTTAGTACTCTGATAGGCTACTTCGCTTTAAACATACCTCATATTCGGGATTTTCTACTTGAAA